ATCCATATGAAAGCATCTAAGGCATACCGCTATCCCTCATTCTAGCTTTTCAATCAAAGGTTGACCAGATCAATGCGGCCTGCGCTACCGTCGAAGCTTTGCCAGCAGGCCCCTACCAACAACACGTCTATCTTTCGACCTACGCTTGCGATCACTAGATCTCTGCTATCCATCCACTGCATGAGCTCCGCCATTGTCATACCTGCCGTCCTTGATATACTCGTCTGCACTATCGTCTCCGCTGGACTCCGAACTGGACTCATCCTCGTTCCTGTCGTCGAGCGAGCGATGGTGCCTCCCGGGGACAGACCTGAGTTTACCATCATCTGCAACAGCTGGAACTGTCAACAGCCATTCTTCCTCATCCAACTTCGTTTTCGTGTCCAGACATTTCTTCCACCAATCGTGTTGAACAATCTTGATGAATTTATGACTCATATTTGGGCTTTTTTGCAGCTCTCTGTTGTACGAGCACACAATATCGATCAGAGCAGACCTTTGTGGGACTTCTGATTCAGAGATACATAGGTGCGTCATGCCGTCGAGGTTGTCACCGCTAAAGTCCAAACTCCCTCCAAGTCTAACGATGGCATTGCGGACACTATTCAAGTTATCCGTCTCCTTGCTTGTTGGATATGTCGGCGTGATGGCGATTAAGCATCCGTCTAAGACGAACGGCGAGCTATCGCTTTCCGGACCTATTCCATACTTATTGGGGTCCAGAAATTCATGCTTATCCCAGGAATCAAACAGCCAATTCAAGCCAACCAGGAAACTTTCTTGCTGAGAAGCACCGAGGACTTGTCGGTTGCAATACCGCAGTTGGTGGTGCGTAGTGCATACAACACTCGTGGAGGCCCTGACGCGTTTATGATACACGGCACCCAGCTCCTTGATCCAAGATTTGGCCTCCTCAAGCGTCACACCATCAGTAGGCATGGACGCGACGATGGTAACGCTGTTGATGGGTATCATGGTAAAATGTGATGCAAGATTGAGTTCGGATAGGGAAGGATGGCTGTTTGCTTCAACTGAAGATTCTAAGGTTTAGTTAGGTGACAGAAAACATTGGAAAATTTGTAGCTCCCAGCCGTATCGCAAAGGTTTGTCCACAATTAATTGTTAAATCATCCAAATTTCGGTTTGAGGCGTCATGACATTCTCTCCGGCTCAATAAAACATGTTGCTCACGGACTTTCCACATCAGGAAGGGGCATTTAACAATTCAATTACGGGAGAGTTCTTACCATCATGAGTGCACATATGATTAATCAAATTAAGGTATTCGCCGGGACTAGCTGGATCATTTCCAAGAGCATGTGCGCAGATGGAACCGTGGCCTCTGACAAGTGCGTGGCTTGCCTCCCCTCACTCTTCTCGAGCCGCTACAGCGCTTCTTTCAACACTGCTTGCCTTGCTGTGCATCCTCTCATGTGGATAGTCGCGGCCGCACAGGCAACCAGTGCCGCCCTCGAGCGTCTGGAAGTCAAGTGGCTACGCCAGTGAACTGTACGATAAGTACAAAGTCAAATCCGGCTCTACCCTTTCATTGAGCCCGTGCGAAGTTTATTTTTACTTCTGACTTCGTGGAATGGACACCAGTGACCGCATAGCAATACTTAAAAGCAACTTGGGCTGTTGCGACGCGCTGTTTTCTCACTTCTCTCGCAAGCCTGCCTTCAACTGCCTGCCATGATTTCCGTGACCTGCCAAGTGCTTGACAACGACGGCCTTCCGCTCGAGGGACTGCAGGTGCATCTTGAATGCGTTGCCGGCGTGCGTCCCGACACTCGTTTTGAAGCGACAACGGATGAAGACGGACGTGTGACGTACTGGAATCAACGCCATGCGGAGGCCTTACTCACCACAGAGGGAGAGCTTCTACCTGTCTATGTTGAGCCTGGCTCGTCCTCTTCACTGCGACTCATATTCCTGACGCAGGGCCTACACGGCTGTGCTTACAATCCTTTGCCAACCGTACAATCAACCCTTGATGTGAGCGCTTGGTCCTCCCACCACATTCTTCTATGGATCAATCGCGCACATCCCAGCTATCGAGTCCAACACCTGATCGCGCGTCCGAGTTCTTGGTTGATTGAGAGCACCGGCGCCCTGTCTGCGATGGTCAGCAGTCCCTCATCAAGTACTGCCACGAGCCCTTGCCAGTCTCCGCCCGGCCAAGTCACACACGCAAGCGAAGGCAAGCTCGATTCGCCTCCTCTACTCACGTTGTCTTCGCCCATCCTCCCCATGGCCAATAACATGTGGACTTGTTCCGCAAGCCGCCCCAGAAAGAGGAAGTCTCCATGGGATGAGAAGGACGGACCGGCAATGAAGAAGCAGTGCTCCGGGTACATCGACTGCATCAGCTCGGCGCGTCAGCACATATGATCGAATCTGTCGGCATTGCGCTTGCGTTGCTTTCGTATCATGGCCACCATGGGGGACACGTCTTCCTCCTTAGCAATAGAGTCTAGAAGGGAAAGCATTGGATTATGTGTCAATTGGTACTATGATAGCCATTAGTACATGTGCTTGAAAGCCGTGATGACCAAACAATTGAATCGATTGAGTTCTCAGACCTGAAGAAGGCCTTGTTTCGTTGACCAGCGCACCAAACTAGCCGCTCGCCAGGGCTGGGGTGATGAGCCAAACAAACACTATTGGTAGATGTCTTACCGCAAGCTGCCAGCGCTGTCAACTCTACCGTATGAGCTGGCTCATCGAGTAAGCGCGCTCTCCGGCCGGTTGCATTGCCTTCTCGGTTGAGTTGCTCTGCACTGCAAGGGACGTCCTTTGTATAGTGAGGGTTCAGGGTAATGATCTCGCCGTCTACTCTGATCGTTAGGGTCACTTGCGCGCCCAAATGATGCAGCTCAGCAGCCTTCTTCATGAGGACTACCGATCGGGTTCTGATGCTGCGTGGCGCTTTGCGAAAGATCTTGCTTCGAGGGTCCATACTGTCCTTGCAGAGAACGGAGAAGATCCGGGACGATTTCAAACGAAGGAAGAGAGGAGGAGATGCCGCAAAATCAATCAGACATATTTCATACGAGAAAACGTACTCCAACCAGTTCGTCCTTATATCTGTCGGCTGTCCGAAATAGCGCTTCCATATCCAATGCAAGCGCCGCCCTCAATGTGCGCCAATCAACGGCGTGCGCCGGTGCCACTAGCTCGCTGGGTTATGCAGCTTTGTGAATGGTTGTCTATCTCCCGCTAGCTTTTAGGGGTAAGGGGCTGACTGTTTACCAGGCGCTTAGCTGTGTTTTAGAATTCTCATGGCGACTTACTACTTTAAGCCTCTGTGCTGCATGGGACCCGCGTCCGTGGACCAGCATAGCCTCTGGGTGGCTCATCGAGAACAGCATCACTCTTGGCGTACGAGACCCTTGGGACCGTTCTGACTGGCCTGTCCTGGACAATTGATGGCGTTTCGCGGAGGAAGTATGGGAGACCGAAAAGCGGCACTTATTTCCCGTCACAGACATGCAACTAACAACAATGACAATAAAATCGAGATGCAAGTGAAGCAAAGGCACGAGGCCTAAGCCAGTCAATTGCACAACTCCCAAATTTGTGGGTATACTGGGGTGATTATTTCATCGTATCAAGATGAAGGAGGAAATGATTCAGCGTCCTGGCAAAAGTTTCTAGACTGAGTGGTTGATAAGCCGCGCACATATCGCTATCGAGAAGGAACAACGCCATGGCTAGTAGCGGTGGGTATCTGATGCGGCAAGACGGGAAACTGCTCATGGTGAGTGGGCTTCGTTTCATCTTCTCTTGGCGGACTAATCTCTTGAGGTTGTCTACCCGCGCCGCCCTCCTCCCCCGTCCCCGGTTGCCTCGTCTCTGCTGTAGGGCCGTTTACGATAGGTCTCCGTGATGAAGGGTGGAGCGGACATTCCATCCAAATTTGATTGCAACAGTGAGGCCTTGGGAGAAATGGCTTTGGGGCTGTGCCGGGGTGGGTCGGGCGCGGATCTCGAGACTTCGGCGCTGAACGTCTACATCGTCTTGGACGGGTAACCGTGATCGTTTAACAGAGGATGTTGAGGGTGTCGGATCGTTCTTGGGCACGTGCAGCAATCTTGTTGCATCTCTCCTCATCAAGGCCGAGGATGTGTTCGGGGGCTTCAAAGAGGAGATCGGGAAGCTCGATAGTCGTCAGCAGAATTGTTGACAGGAGTCGGAATCAGCGGGGAGAGATAGATCATCATCCTAGAATTTGGCTAGATATGCAAGGGCGACAAAACTCGGCCTCGAGACAATTGAAGCTCTTCCTAACATCGCATTCCAGATGCTTGAAACGGGAGTTTAGTTCCTAAATTTGCTCTTTTACGCCGTACTCAAAGTTGTTAAGGTCGTACTTGACTTGCTTCATGGAGGATGGAGGGTGACGAACACTGCGGAGAGATAACCGTCTGGGCGGTGGCAGGCGCTGAAGTTGTCACGGGTAAGATAGGGAGAGGGAGGAGGAATGGGACATTTACAGACAACGTCGATGGATTCCCCGGATCCAGGAAATCGCATCACGTGACCACATCCCGAGATCGGATGTGATAGGCTGCGGTCTCGTCAGCGAAAGATCATCCTAGCGCATTACTCGACGCGCAGGAGTCGATGCCATAGGTGCTCCGCCGCCGTAGACTCCTCAAGGATAAAGGCCACAGCACGTTCCGACGACCCGTCGATCAAATCTCGTTCTATGACTAAGCAGGCCCACTGGATTTATTGTCAAACAATTCGCTGGTTATAGGCATCACAGTAGCCATGTGGCTGACACAGTGGGTAGACAGGTCGATTAGGTACAATAATGAAATTGGATGTAGTTCAAGCCAGTCAGTCCGGGCGATGACATGACTCAAGGGCGCAATGATGCAACATTCGGTAGTGGAGCCACACTGTGTCATCAAGCTATTGTGATGCTAAGACCAGAAGGGATTTGGCGTCCATTTTGGGACACCTGACGTGCCCCATTCATCAGGAATCTTAACAAGCGCAGCTTACCGTCAGCATGGCAGATAGCCCGTGGGTTGGTCAATAACCGATGTGATGACAGCTTGAGCGGGGTCTACATCAGTACTGATGACCCTCTGCGTCGCACCAGCAATGTGCCCCGATGTCGAAAGGAGAATGTTACTTGTCATGAAGATGCGCTGATCTGGGATCACGTCTACAACACCATCGCCGAAGCCACTCCGCCGCCCCGAACGATAGCATTCTCTCTCCAATGAAGTCCATGGCTCCGCAACACTAGCGGCTTCGCGCACTCGTCCGAGAATCGAAAGGACGTGGACCTTGTGCTCAGGGAGGAGCTCGGAACTATGTTTGTCGGGCTCCGTGGAATCCTGGATTCCACGAGGCATATTTCAGAGGTGTGGTCGGTCTTGATACAGCGTCTCAGGCAACATTCCAGAAGTGCGAGGAAGGCAGTAGCCCTCTTTCACAAGGAGTGGGTGGACAGGATGGCCGAACGATGCAAACGAAGACGGCCTGCTTAGCTGGTTCACGGATATCAACCAAAATCTGGTGGTAGTCCGTCGGCACAGCCCAACAAGCCAATCCAAGGTCCTACCGCAGAACGCAAGCTGGACATCGGGTTCGTGAACGATCCCCAGGCAAGAAGCGACTCCCGGTGTCTCTGGTGACAGATACTCGTCACCGGAAAGTTGAAGAGCAACCCATACGCCGGCATCGCCTCCAAAGCATGGCTCGACTTGGGGAGGTATGAAAGAGAAGTTCTCACTGCTCTAGACCGAGAGACCACCCACTTGGCTCAGAACTTTTAGACACTTTGCACTTTGCGGTTGGGCACTGAAACCCACTCCCCAATAACCGACTGCACCCCTGAAACCGATCACAGCCTGCGGTACGAGCCTGCGGGAAATGGCAAGAGACGCCGTCCATCGGCGTTCAACCTGACGTCCTCCCTGGGACCGCGACTCGTGGGGTCATCAAGTCTGGGACAAAAGAGCAGGCAGCGGACACGACCACGACATGGAAGCTTCAGGGTCCTGAGTGGCAGCGAAATTCACGTCTCAGGCCACATCGATGAACTTAGTCATCAGCGAAATACACACAGTCGAGCCTTGACGATTTCTTGATCACTATGGGCCTATGGATTTGGCCGGGAAGATGTCTTGAGCTACGGCGGCGTTAGTATCTGATGCCACAAGCAACCGCGGGAGCTCGCCAACCAGTCCAGCTCCATCGTCCAATGGGGCTTTGATGTCAAAATGGTGCTGGCTTTCCGTGATAAAGACCCTGTCCATCCATCGACATTGCCTTTCCTCTGATAACGCCGCCAGAACCAGGGTTGGCTTCCAACAAGAACAGCGACTCGGTCATTCCACAAGTTCAAGTCGAACTTCAGCTCTTCGCGGCCGACCTCACTCCACCTCCCATAATCGCTCGTCATCCGCCAGCCCTGTCCGAAACCTCAGTGGCAGGCCTCCAAGAGCGGCCTCTGAACTCAGCGTACGACGGGCTCAGCGCGGGCGCATCCTCGCCCGTGTCGTCTCCATCGACTCGCCGCTTCCAATTCTCCTCGTCGCTATCTCCACACGTCTGATGCTCCGCCAACTCCACTCCCTTAGGTTTCCAACGACCGGAGTCATCCCCACCGAGTCCGCCGTGATCTGACCGGTTGCCACACTCGCCCACACGTGTTAGAGGAGGTTGCAAAAAGAGCCACAGGACTGCCATTCACTGCCAATTGCATGACACGTTCTCGTTGGCAAACTTGATCAGTTTTGCAGGTCTAATTACTGTACACGCTCGATGCTGGAATGGGGTATGCGAGCTTAAATCCGTCTCTCTCTGGGGTTGATGACTCAAAAGTCCGTCAGTCTCTCGACCCCCAAGTCTTCCTAGCATCCCGCATCGCCCACTCAGTCATCCACTGGCTCCGGAGTATATCCTCCGCCGTTGGCCGCTCCCCTGGCCTAAACTTCAAGATGTCCTTGATCAATTCGCAGAACGCCTTGCTCTCCCTCTTGCCCATAGTGTCGTGCTTCTTGCGTCGTCTCGGGCCCTGGATCGCGTCCTCGAATCGCTGGTCAAAGGTCCAGGGCTGCCTGCCCTCCGTCGGCTGACCGTTGGCGGCGAAACGCTTCCACTTCCCGTCCCAAGCGTCCCACCACTCGTCTGGCAACGGGCCTAGAGCATCGATCTGGTTTGCCGTGACATCATCTAGTTCTGGGAGGAAGATGTCGAGGAATGGTCTGACGCCGAGGATCTCCCAGATGATGCAGCCGAGACTCCAAATGTCGGATGCATACGATAAGGGAGTCGTCGGATCGAAGCGCGGTTCGGGCGGACGGGTCTTGCGAGGCGTGAATGATTGCAGTCGAGTCTCGTACGCAGGTGAGAAGGCCGTGCCAAGGTCGGTGAGCATAAGCTTAGCTTCAGAGAGAGTAACCTCTTCCGCAGGTTTCCCAAGCAAAGCTGGCGTGTAGGCATATGCTGGGACAGATAGCGACGTGATCGGTTGCTTGTCGACCCTTACCACAGGTTCTGCCTCTGGGTCGCCATATTTCTCGTAGAGCTCTTTGACGGTAAGCTTGTCGATTTCTTCGCCCGGCAATTGGAGGAGCAGATTGCCGAGGTGGATGTCTGGGAAACGTTAGCGACATCTTGAGGTATCCATCCGAATACAACTGACCTCCGTGAACAATTCCCAGCGTATGTATACGAGCCACTGCTATGACAAGCTGGGCAGCGAGAGATCTGGCGGCATCAAGCGGGAATAGATCGTAGTCCTTGAGAGCCTCGACGAGACTGCATCTGGCCGGCGTGGTGACCAGGCACGAATGTGTCCCGTTGGGCCCTATGAGCTTAAAATGGTCGAGGACGGGGGGGAGGAGACGGTCGCTCAAGTCATTGATTGGGCAAGCCGAAAGTTGTTCCAGGATCTGAGCTTCCTTAGAGCTGTGGTCCGCGATCCCAATCTTCACTGCCACGTATCTGCTCAGCTTTTCGTCTCGTGCGAGCCAGATCGTGGAGTGCGATCCGTGCCCGAGCTTTTCGATAATAGAGTATCGTTCCTGGAGCTTATCATTCAATTGAATTGGGTGATAACCGCCGGGTCGATATCCGTCCAGTCGTTCGACGTCGCTGATATACTCATAAAGCGGCCCATCGGTTGCCATGGTTCGTCTAAATGGTCGCAGTGTAGGCACGAAGGATTGCAGACCTGGGCTTTGCTTTTTAACGAAGTGGCATGCAAACGATCGCATATTCTCAAGCTGATGATGGAGTCAAGATGCAAGCCTGGAACGCGGGCGATGAACGATTTACATATCTTGGGTCGGCCTCAAATTGGGAATGTTGGTGATGGAGAAAGACTAACCTGCGCTAGCCCGTGACATTGCACGCGCTCGTCACGCGGGCACCTTGAATTGGCACAAGATTTCAATTGGTCAGTTGGCTAACCAATCAGTGGAGCCTTGGTTTGGAAGGAAGCGAGGCTATTGGAGGGGATTGCCAAAAGCCCCAGTGCAGCCTGGAGGCCGTTTAGAGCGCGCGCTTCGCAAGTGCAGGTCAGAAGGTCACCATGACTGAAATGAAGAAGGACCAACAGGCAAGTTGGCTGCGAATGCATTCAACCAGATAAACCAAGCGAGGCAAGAAATTTATAAATAGCTGCTGAGAATTCCATGAGAATGGATGAGGGTCAGATCAAATCTGAGTTGCTCAGGCCTCATCATGTCTACCGTCAACATCATCAAGTACTACTTTCATGTGGAAGGACTCCCTAAAGATCCTAACTATGTCCGCAACTTGGTGCGCTTAGCCTACCAGACCGCGACTGCCAAGAACCTCTACCCTCGCGCTGTCTTCATCCGGTATGCTCGACAACGATCTTCTAAATTCTGATGCGTCGCTAACCCTATCACCAGCGCAGATGTCCATTCTACCACGACCATCAACGGCATTTACCAGAAAGATCCAAAGGGCGATCACATCACGCTTTGCTTCAAGAACGAGGAGCACATGCGCAAAGGCACGCATATTGCCTGTCATGGCTATGTGACGGATAGAAACGCCCTGAACTTCAGGGAGGCGACTGATTCGCCCGAGAAAGCGGATTCGACAAAGAAGAAGAGCAATAAGAAACCGGTATGGCCATCTTCAGACAAACTCCAGGAGCTGCCTGAAGGGTGGTACAGTCATTTGGACAGTAAGTGAGGGTACGCTCGCTCAGCGAATTACCAGCACAGCGCCAGTACTAGAGAGGAATCAAAGTCATATTTCTTCTAATCTCCGTACCACATTCATTATTTGAGCTATTTACAGCTGCGACTGCTGTCTCCGTACTGCCCATAGTCACTGGCTGCCTACCAAGCAGCCTCCTCAGTGATGTTCATACCTCCTAGACCGTCAATCCAATGACATGATCTCAGGGTCCCATCATCTCAGCCCTAGGGGGGGTTCCCGTTTACGACGATGGAGATAGCTGGCACGAAAATTGGAAGACGCCCAAGGCCAGTTCCCTATTGTCGGCCCCTGCTCAAAATCATGAGATCCTCCAAGTTGTGAACGGGCGGTCTTCTTCGTCTACGCTTGGACGCCGAAGATATGGCATCTGATCTGAAACAAGACATTGGTAGCCGCTAACTTAAGCTTAAGGCATCCATACAAGCGCGGACGTCTGACTCTCTTTCTGCAGGAGGTGACTCGAGAGCTGCTTCCTCGAGAATATCTTCGATGGCTCCCGCAAACCTGCGAAAGGCATTTCGTTGGGCCTTAAAATTTCCTGCTTTCTCGGCGGAATCATTAGACAGATTCAGATCCCGTAGGAAATCAAAAAATCGATTTTCAAGTCTTCTTCCCAGCGGCCTTGGCTGTCCTGATTTCTCCAGCAACAATGGTAGATGATTGAAGTGCCTGTTAGATGTCTCGATGCTGAGTCCGAGTGACCTGTCTTGCCAGGTTTTGGAGCACCAGTTTTGGAACATACCAAGAGTTTTTCGGATATCTTTGGGTGGCAACCTTCTCCTACTTCATCCAAAAGGCATGCTGCATCGCAGCAAAGCCAAGTGATGTTAGTTCTGCCTAGCATTTCTTGCATCCATTTCGCCGAACATAAAACAGGACCGCGGAAGAAGCGGCATTCCTCAACCCCCCCGCTCAGGGATTCAAGGATCGTTTCCCATCGCTGCTGGAGGTAAGGTAAATTCCAGACTTCACCTTTCTTGGCTTCTACCTTCAGCTTAGAGTGGCACGTATGGACGGCAGACGGACGGCATATCTCTGGAGACGCGGCTTGCCTCTTGACTACAGATGACCCTCAAGTCGGTCATCCATCGTTCCTCCTTCCAATCCCGACGCCAGAGAGCAAAGGCTTTAGTGAACTCCAGTATAAGTAGCCGACGAAAGCAGCTGCATGTTGGGTAAAAGTTGATCGCATAACTCGGGTGGAAAGCGGTGACTCGAAGGAGCGACAAGGATTGACCGTACCCCAAAATGGAGGGTTGGAAGCTTCCTCCGATTCCAGTTCGGCAAACGTCCAGGACGAGAGGATCTTCCGACTCTGTCTTGTAGCAACAGATGACAACATCCGGCTGTTTCGCTCTGATCATGTCGGCAAATGTATTTTGCGCCTTGTTGATTGTGTCTTTGTTCGTTATGGTTTCGTCTAGGAACGGTATTGCGTCAAATATGCTGATGTCGTCGAAACCGAATCTCCCATTGCTCACAGCAGAAATCAACTCTGCCACTGCGTTAAGAGTCGCGCATCCACGCCTCCCTGCAACAAAGCCGTCGGAAAAAACCTGTTTCGAATGAGGTCGTAACAGCACCACGACGATATCGACTTCCGATTCGGGTTGCGCCATTTCGATACCAAAACTTAGCTCACAGACTTGGAGGCACTTGCATCCATCTTCGTCCTCAAGATCGATTCCGAAATCGTAGAGAATCCGCGCATGCCCGGATTCGTTCTCAGCCAGGCTGATGGGTTGAGCTTGCCGAATTAGTCGCCGTAGGCGGTAATCTATGGGAACACCAAGACACTCCATAATTGTTTAGGCGTGGCTGAGTATTTTGAGCACTTTTGGTGGGCGAAGAGCCAGTCGGCGATTACAGGCTCGTGTCCAACGGGGGTTGGTGGGGCATTCGGCGGCAACTGAGTAGCTGGCCAGTTGAGGAGGACCGACAAGGTTAGGCATTGAAAATATAACACTGAGTAGTGTCTAGCACCGGTCTCGATCCTGCTTTGTCGCGTACGTGAAACCTCAAGTTGCTTGTTGCAAGTTTTGACGTCGTGCTCAATTGATGCGGGGTTGGGCACTGAGAGATGTGACATTCACGGAAATATGACATAATTGATAGGCTTCGGAATTGTGAAGCAACAAACTCAAGGGGCTTTTTGAGTGTCCGTAAGTATCTCAATCATTACAGTACATAAAGGGGCTCATATTACTCTTATAAGACAGCATCGGAAGTTGCTGAACTTGCCTCCGTTTCTCAAGGCTTTTCCGGGCAAACAGTTTTGCCATGCATCAGCTCCACCACGTCGTGACGAGCCCCGACACGTACACTCCAGTCCACGCCATGCAAACGTCAACGTCTTCTTGAAGGAGAAACGAGATCAATCGAAGCATTTCTTCATCATTGCACCTACGGCGACGTTGTTCTCTGACGCGAGAAGCAACCGTGAGAGGTCGCCAATGGAAGGCGTCGAAGCTTTCTCCCGGCGAGGTTCGAGTCTTTCGAACCACTCTAGACGCTCTGTAACACAGGGCAGCTCGGACCTGACGAATTTGAAAGGGCTATGCATCATGACTTCCACTCCCTTGGCTGACCTTGCTGACTTCGGTACTAACAACCACGAACACCCTAACGCATAGAGCACTCACTTAGCACAGCCATTCCTTTCGCCTTCACGCTTCACGGACGAGGGCTTCAGGAAGTTCAAGTAAGCTGATACACATGCTTCAACCCCTGAAGCAAGCGTCGGGGACAGCAACTGCACTAGTGGAGAACTGCATTGTACATCCCCGATCACTTAACGGATGACTCGATCAACCAGACAACGTCAGCCTCTACTACGGCGCCCGTCCTGGATAGCCCATGTTTAATTCCTTGGCCCGTTCTCCGCCTTGTAAAAAGTTCGACCACGTCGCTGTCGCGCAATATTTAAGGCTCTGGAGTAGATGAGCTAAGAACCAGAAACAAAGGCTACTCATTCAACCTTTTCCCAGAGAAAGCCAACCTCAATACAGAGCTGCGGTCCGTGTCGTAGCTGAAACCTCACTTGAGATGTTTTCGGGTCGCACGGTACCTTGATCTCATCGTCAGTGGGAATGGTGGAAGCCTCCACGGACATGAGTTGCCTGTTGGAGGGGTCCTGCAATTGCGTCGTTCGACGAACCGATATCCATCCTGCTGAAATAGACACAAACTCGAAGGAGACGTGCAACTGGTCTATCTGGACGTCGAGTGGTTCTCGGCCAATGCCTACCTTGCTTTGAAATGGCAGATCAGCGCTCGTGATCACGACGGACGATTCTTGGCGGTCTGATGGCGGAGACAACCGGTATGCACTGTGGGAAGAGACGCGAGAGGACAGCAGTACAACAGTATCCGAGCTGACTGTAGAACCGCTTGATAAAGGCAGAAACGCTTTACTTTCGAGAGGGTCTAGCCCCCAAGGCATCGCCCTAGCCTGTCGAAAACGGGTCGCCTCGTTCATGTGTTGTATCATATCCTGGATAATGGCGCGGAAGGTGCAAGCCTGCGCCTCAGTCATCCAATCAACATCTGGAATGGTCCATTGCTCGTAAAGGCGTCGGTGGGCGTGCGATACGTGGTACCGGCTCTGCTTGAGGATGAACAGGTCGCAGAGGTAGCAAGCTGATTTACTACAACCAAGGGCTCGCACGGCTAGTTGACAAGTATGCCGCTCAAGGTAAAGTATCTGTTGTATCTCCGCATGAACGAAACACTTTAGAGAGAGGCCCGGGCGGAACGTTGCTGAATAGGCTTTCAGGGCGGTGACATCAATATGGTTGAACAGGGTCCGGTACTCCGGTTTCCGCGCAAGGCGTAGAAAGTCCTTGCAGAGGAATAAATAGCGCGCTAACTTGTCGATCTGTCGAACCTCTGAGGCGTCATAGAGAACAGATGGCACACCGTGGGATTTGAGATGTTCCTCTAACGAGTGCATGTTCCCGACTGCAGCAATGCTTGCACATTTCATGATGACGTGCTCGAGGGCCCGATTAATATCGTCGTGTTCAAGCCTTCGGCTAAGAGGCTCTAGGGAGTCGATAAGTCCGCAGACTTGATCATAGGTGACTAGCAATTGCGGTGCAAACGCCAGTCGTTTCTTGAGCTGCCTTGCAAGATCTAAAAGCTGAACTTTGAGGAACGGCCGTTTTTTTCTGATGTGAGAGGGCTGCTGTATCCAAGGTGGCCGAATCCGACCAAGGATCCTTCTTTGACTGAGCTGTAGAACTTTCAGGAATAGGCTACGACAGAATTCTTGGCGTTTTTTTCCTACGCACCCTCGTCAGCGTAGGACTTACAATTTGAAGTCTGTAATCCTAACTCAATGTGCAATACTGGCATACTGTGGCCAAAATGTCCCTCAGCCCCGCGATGATCGATTGTGACGGAGTGGAGTTGCTCGCGAGTACGACGACGAGACCAGAGGGGTGTTCCTCCAGAGTCACTGCCGAAATCATACGGACATTTTCTTCCCAGTGAGCGAGATAGGCAAGATTGTCGGCCATCTGGAGCTCATCTCCAAGCGAAAGAACATGCCCATCAGGATCTGGCGTTGTGCTGCCACGGTAGAACTGAGGCTCTGGCGGATTCCGTGTAACCTTACGCAGCTTTGCCACCGAAGTGTGAAAGCTGCGGCTAGACGAAGGTGTCCAGAAATTTAACGCTGCCTCCATTTCTGCTCTGGTGTCGAGCAAGATGACAAGCGCTCCGCTTCGCCGTGAGGGGTTATAATGGAAGGCAAGCGGGGATGAACCAATGGACGAGACTGATCCGCCCAATGACGGGAGGCCGCGATGGATGTGCTACTTGAGTCGGCGGCGGTGTACGGTCCAACACAGTGCACACGAGAAGCCACTTCATTCTTCTTTTGCCGTTGCTCAAGTATGTTACGACTTACTGGCGCTCGAGGCTTATCGATCCCACCGTTTCTAACTTGCTCAGTTCTTTTGTAGGTCCTCCAAGCTATGCAGCATGGCGACGATTCCGCCAATACTCTACCCACGTCTTATTTTAGAAAAGAAACAATAGATCTCCCGATCCGAACGATGGCGCATTCGGGAAATGTTGATCTAGCGCAAAACCCACTCTGTCGGGTGCGATCGCGCTAGGGCCGGACCGCTGGACGGGCGAACGACTGAAGTACTAGTGAAGCGTCCGAAAGACGGGCGTCCTCCACCTGCGGAAACGCGGAGGTGTGAGACGCCGATCAGTCCATTCGTAAAGATTGCGCGGTGTGATCTCGTATACACACGGCTTAGTTGATATAATGCGTCACCCAATATCTTTGCGCGCGTAAACAGGTCAGTAATTTCGAGGCGGGGAGACCATTGGGCTCGGCGGGGCGCCTATCTTTGGAACAGCAGCTATCATTAGGCTGCCGACGGGCTCTGGTGAACCTCAGTCCCTCTTCCTAACCGACCAGCCGTTCCTCGGAATCAAGATGAATGCATTCAACTTAACGGAGCCCCGGGTGCCAGACTATTACGCAGACCTTGGATTGGAACAGCAAGCAAATTTTCAAGACATCAAAGTGGCCTTTTTCAGACTAGCGAAAGCGCATCACCCCGATAAAAAGGCCCCGGGCAAGTCCCATCGACGCCCAAGAGTTCCGCAAGGCTGGTTTTTGATGTCATTACTCAGGAGTTATTGCCGAATATAATCTTGGCTAACATATCGCCTTCATCCAGATTAAGGAAGCGTACGAGTGTCTGAGAGATAAGGCAAGGCGTTTGGCGTACGACGAATTCTACTTCGACCTACGAGACCAGTGGGCCAGATATCGGGAGTGGCAAGACACTCAGCGCAGAAATGAAGAACAGAAACGAGCCGAGGAAGATGCAAGACAAAGGAGAGCCACCGAGGCCGAGCGAGCGCGGAGGATGGAAGCAGAGCACCGTGCTGCCGAGGAAAGAGCCGAACAAGAGAAGAAAGCAGCAGAAGCTGCGAGGGCACAGAGAATGGAAGAAGAGAATCGAGCCGCCAGAGAGAAGGAAGAGCGCGGGCGGAAGAAGGACGAGAGAGAAAGACAAGCTGAAGAGCGTTCTCGAGAAGCTGCACGGAAAGCGCGAGAGCAACATGAACTGGCGGCTAAAGCAAGGCTACGCCGAGAGAAGGAAAGAGAAGCAGGAGAAAGGTCTACCGAAGTAGCAAGGAGAAACAGGGTCGAGCGGGAACGAGTGGCAAAGGGGCGATTGAAGAACACTTTGATTCAGGAGAAGCAAGACACCATCCGTCACAATTGGGCGACGATGCGGGCAGCAGCAGAACGTCAAGAAGCTGAGCGACCGCAAGCACGACCGCCGACTTCACGATCTCCGGAGTGCTCTCATCCACAGTTAGGCTGGCAGAGAAAGACCGGTAGGGCCACCTGTGTGTTCTGTGGGGAAGCCCGTAGGAAATGGTCTTTCCACTGCCCGGAGTGCACTGTGGCAGCTTGCCCGGTCTGCAAGGATAAGTATTGTATATACTAGCCAGTAACAGTTTGCAGCTTCAATATCCTGGGCTCAAAGACCTCAGGACTAAGTCCTAAACACTCGGGCATCCTCTCTACTCTTAGGCGTCAATCTCAAGAGGATGGTACGTGATACTCGCGAGCTAATCGTATGTGTCGATTGATTTTCGTTCGTTCGGTAGGAGCAGGCTATGACGCCCCTATCCGGACCATAACTTGGGCTCCTTCGATACGCGCTGACGCTTCCCTGCCGATTCGTCAGTAACGGTGTCCTTTTCGCCCGAGTTTCGGATATCTACGGGCGTGGGAGCGTCAGTACTGTCGCCGCCACGCGGGGTCTTCTGAGGAGTGCTGTGTTGACGCGCGTAGTTCTACTCTTGTTTTGCCGGTGGTTCGCAAAGTTGGATTAATGATGCGGGAATGGACTCGGTACTGATGGTGTTAGACTCGCGAGTTGTCCGGTTGTGGCGAGGGGGCACGGAGAGCGTACTGACGGTAGACGTATTGCATATTGATAAGGTGGTCCTTAAAATTGAGTGAAGCTGTAAGAATTCCTGCGAAAGAGTCCTAGTCTATTTTCCCCTTTAACCGTTTCACTATGACCCCAAGGCTGTGCATCCTCCAGAGCGATACGAGGCACAGCGCCAGGCCGGTGCGGTGTCATTATAAGAGCCCTTCATCCTGCCAGGGCGGTTTAGAGATTGCCCAGACCGCCAATCCTACTAACCTGTCTCGTCGGCGCGGTATGCGGGCGGAGCGATGAAGCACAGACATAGTAGTAGTCGCATCACCACGGCTGAGCGTGAAAGAGACAAGGACTATTCGATCGCGTTCGCACGGGTCTGCCATAGCTGGTGGTCACATGGGAGATGCCCATGCAGCAGCACACCGTAGCACTTGCGCCACAGGTTTATAGCTTCGCGGGGTAGGGGGAGAGACCCGATTCGGCGTCGCAAGACGCTGGTGGGAGGCCACAGAGTCGGCTGTCGGTCGGTATAGTATTGTCGTTGTGGTTCGGGGGCTCGGCAGGGAAGAGTCTGGCAGCTCGATTCTGTTAGCCTGGCGGATTAAGGCGGTAGGTAGCAGGATGGACGGTTCGCGAATGCGTTACTGGCCAGTGTATTCTCCGTTTCGCCTACCGTCTGCCAAATTGGCGAGTCGTTCAAAGTCCTGCAGTTGTCGCGTGCTGTGCTGGTGTTCAAGATGTTGACGCGGTGTCGCGCCATCACGCGCTGTCTGCGCAGTGGTTGGACATGGTACGTTCACCAGCATTAGAGGCAGCCGAGAACACGGACCACTTGGGCCAGTGAGACCCACTCGCTCTCAGCCTTCAAACTAATTAAGTAGAGCCTAACGCTGGACCCCTCAAGATTGCCACGAGTTTCACCCGCCACACCTCACCACGTGCAACACTTCGCTGTCAGTCTGAGGCGCGCTAGTCTCGCCGTCCTTTGGTCCCGTAGCCTGCACCTTGGACGTCCGCACTACCCCACTTCCGTTAATAGGACCATGTCCATCGATCGACATGGCCTCCTTAGGCCCTTCCAGTCATTATTCAGTCCAAGGAATACGAATCCCAGGAGCTTAATCATGCCCACTGCATCATCATCCAAGCTCAAGCACATCCTTCCCAACCCCGCCCCGTCTCACATCGCTGAACCTTGTAGGAATAAGCCACACCCCACGAGGTTAAGCGCCACCCACAAGCGGAGCTACGTCTTCAGCGCGTGCGCAGCGTGTCGGAAGCGAAAGGGTAAGGTAAATATGCACCCCCGTCGCGTAATATCCCTGGCCGGAGCCGTAACGAAGAACAGTGCACAGGAAGGCGACCCCAGTGCCGGCCATATACCAAGCGGCACCAAGTGTGCGCCTACGACACCGAGCCAGCGGAGACACAGATGCAAGCTTGCCGGCGGCAGAACGAGGTCCTCATGCGGGAAAATTTAGGCTACCTGACATTGCCTGGTCTGTTGATAAGTCTGCCTGATAACGAAGCCATTGACATGCTTGTCAGTCTGCGGTCGGGACGCACGGCGGAGCCTTTCGTTGCATAGGGGAAGGATGGGGATATCTTGTTGAACTACAGGAATCGCGTGTTTCGAGCCTCGCCGCCGCCTCCGCTGGAGTATTGGTGTGGGCAAAGATATTCGGATCTGGGGCCGACGTTTGATAGGCGAACGTGACACCATCTCTTGCACTCGCTTTTCCACCAACGTTACGCGTCCACGATCAGGGCATACCATTGCTGACAGCCACGATGTGGAAGGCGCCCAACATGTACCTGTCTCGCTCTAGTGTATCATCATTGCTCGTGTCAATCCTTTAGCCCCTGCTGCCAAGTAAAGACGCGTTTAAACATATCAAGCTCAGTCTCAGCCGCTAGCACATTGCCCAGGTAAACGCGCATCTCTCAATTCCATATGCGAAGAGGAAGATATCTCCTACGATATCGATCGTACTGGTTTAAGCAGCGTGGACAATGGGTCC